TCTCTGCAAAGTTTCAGCTTTCTACGTTGCCTAGTTCGCGAAATCGTTTCCCGCCAACATATTTCTCTGGGGGTCCCGGGTTCTTGGCGCGTATGGGGAAAGATCTTAAAACGGGAGGATGACACATAGGATAGGAACATATAACCAAAGCTTCAGCCTCCCAGCTTTCCTGGCTGCTGAGATGAAAGTGGGTGACAAAACGCACTCGCCTTCCGAACACACACACACACACATGCACACGCACACACACAGACAGCCTCTCGACAATATGCGTTTTTGCTGGTTGTAGCATAGCTGCATAGCAAAAACGCATAAAAATTAGTGCTCACTGAAAGCGGTATAAGCCAGTTGAGTGCAGGAATAACAAATCGTTTGCGATTAATGACCAGCTGCAAATACGGTATCACATCGCGATACTTGCAGTCCACGATCATCCGTCCTCGTCTTGTGCGAAGGGCTCTCAGCACTCTGCGATACATCTCATCCGGAAGAACTATATTTTTTTTTGCAGGAGAGACTACTGCTAGAAACGGGCCTGCCTTGATGTCGCCTTCTAGGCCAATCGCTGTTATACTGAAAAGTGAAATATAATCATCTGACAGATGACGGTTGAAATGCTTAACCAAGAAGCCTGATGACTTAGGCTTCTTACCTCATAACAAACACTGCTTGCAAATTGGCATGTGGGCATTCTTGCTCCTAAAATTCAGTTACCATTGAGCGTTCGTTGCCTGCTGGCAGTTAATTATTCAGTGCTTACTTTTTATCTGTCAGGAACTACTAGTGCTATACCTACGTCAGGAAGACGGTCTCTCGCTAAATGAGGAGTTTGGCTGGCAGAAATTATTCAGAAAAGAGAATTTTTGAGTGCTCATATACCAAAAGATTGTGCAAATTGCGCCACTGTGAGAAAGTACAATTCAATGGACGGACAATTTTCCGTCCGTTTATTGGGAGTAGCTTATTAATGAGCGGTACTTGCGAAGAAGGAAAGAACTGGTGCAGCTGAAGAGGCGCACGAAAATCAGGAAAAGGAGCACTGATCGGAGTTGTGTAGCTTAGAATCGAAAGGTTTTGCATGCAGCTGCATTCCCACTAACGCCAAAGACGCGGACTTCTCAGACCCTCTGAACGGGGTGTCATAGTATTCTCAGCACATGCTTGATAGCTGGCTTTATGAATGCTCACGAAACTTATACGCAATATTCAATAACAACGTACCAGTGTATATGCTTGCATGCCTCGTGTCATAACGCACTGTAAACGATGAATCGTTTGCATATTATGCAGTGAAAAATGCAGGCAAATTCGGCACCGGGTTTACTTAAAATTTTATCTAAACTGTAGCTTACAAATAGCGATGAAGCTGCCAAAACGTTCAGTTTTGTTGGATGTGCAGGCCGGAGGAGTGTTTCGACGAGAGAATGGACGAAACAATTGATTCTGACCGACCATGCATTTCTGCTTGCATACTCCGAACTCGAGAAATCATCAGACGCGCTGGAAGGTATTGTGTGACTGTAGCCGACTCGAAGCTGCTTGTGCAGCAAGCAGTTGTTCCACTGGAAAGGGTCGCACAGAAGCAAAAGAAAAACCCGGGTGCTGAAGACTCCTTTATCTGGTGACGTAAACGGTAGCAGAAATACATTCGCGGTGCGTGCTGGCACCTACCATCCGTTTTGTCGCAACAGATGCGATTGTCGAGTGAGAGAAGATAAATTTCGGACTGAGTTCGTAAACATATCATCTGGCGAGAGCGATCTGGCAACTATAACAAATTTCCAGTGCCTTCATCTCTTTTGTCATACGTGGGGCTTGGCTAGGGACTCTCTCGAAAGTAACGTGATAGCGTTCGTTTCTATTTAAAAGCATGAGGTAAAACAACTCTCAGTGTTGACCATGTATGTTGTACTGATCTCTTGCAGTATTTGCTTCATCCCCAGCTTGCTGTTTTATTATTGAATGATTATTGTCTGCTATCACCGGTGCTTGCCTGTATCTCTATTTTCAGTGAATGCTTGTTCTATGCCTGTTTTGTTATTTCTGTGACTGATTTTTTGCTTTGTTTTAATGTACTAACAGTCCCTTTAAATTTTTTTTCCGAGCATTCGTAAATTTGTAGGGGCAGCGAGCTTACGTGAGCAGTTGGAAAACACAGAAACGGAGAATTGAGTTCTCTCTGAAATGATAATTGTCGAAAGTCAAGAATCAAAATCCCCTCCGTATTTCATTCCCAGTGAGAAGTGGCGACACTTGGGAAATAGTCCGAGTGGTAGCAATGCTAACAGCAATCGCTCGCTGAAAAGGCTGTCAATGGCCCCCTCTTCTGAGGGTTGTCTACAAGCAAGCTGATGGCTGGAAGCGATAATAAAGATACGAAAAATTACAGAACTTGAAAAACTTAGGTTAGGTAACTTAGGTTAGGCAGTGGTCACTGAGAATGCGAGGAGGGCTTACTAGCTATTTCTTACATAGTTTTTTACAAATTCCTTGTTTTCTTTTTAAATTTCCGTAAAATTCAAAAAAAAAAAACCTGTCAATGGCAAAAAGCCATCTTTCATCGGATTTTGCGTCGACGGTAAGCTTTTTGTTGTCGCACAGATAGAAATCGTCATTGCCAATAAGCATTGCTCCTCCAATGACACTTGTGTCCACTCTATTCGGACTACAAATTTTGAAAGCTTAGATTAAATACCCAGCTGAAATCACTTTCAGCATACTCACCAGGCATTCCGCGAACGAGAGAACTACCGACGGCTTTACTGCTGGGTAACTGTACTAATAAATTTTCTACCGCTTTAACTGTAAGTAAATGTTAGTTCTCTGCAACATGAGCCAAGTTTTAAATCACGTAAACAAGAATTTGTTTTTGTCAGAGTTTAGTTCGTTTATTTTGATAAATTGGTACTGGCATGTGCCAAGAAGTCGAAATCGCCATCTGTTTGTATGTAAGCAATCTGCAAAAGAGAGAGACATCGACGGTCTTGGCAAAGTTTGATTGTTGCTGGCACTTCCAACCAGTCGGTTTACTTTTTTGAGTACCTAGAACGAATGCGGGAAGGATTTATGCGGGGATTTTGAATTAATCTTTTCGAACCCATTTTGCAGTACGCACTTACTTTTCAATTCGAATCGAAAGTTTATCGTAGAAAGCGTTTTTGCGAGACATCCCAAGAATATTCGCAGCTCTAGCATCGGTGTTGTCAAAATCCACAATGGCAATAACCTGACGATACGATCCTTCTTGGTTCCCAAACTGCAATTCTTTTCAGCTGTGTAGTTTATTGGAAAATGTTATCACCAATCTCATCCAACTTTGGAAGCTGGGTTTGGCATATATACACACACACACATACATACAGACACACACAGACAACCCCTTGACAATAAGCGTTTTTGCACTGCATAGCTGCAAAAAACATTTAAAGACAGATGTTGTCGAAGGCTTATCTGTGTGTGTCTGCGCGCGCAGACACACACAGATAAGCCTTCGACTTTGTCTGTGTGTGCACTGAGCGTTTGTATCGATTTTTATGCGTTTTTGCATATATGTAAATTGCAAAAACGCATATTGGGAAGAGGCTGTCTGT